TCCCTTATGATAAGACATGAATCTTTTTTTAGAGTATCTCGAGTAACTCAATATATAAAATGACGTTACTAACACATGAAATTTTCCATTGAAAATTGAAGTCTATTTATTTACGTTGTTACGTCTATTATTATAATCCGTACTGATGAATGAATCATTTTTTCTCGTAAAGAAGTTTGTTTTTGTTGCTCAAGATTATAAATATAACAATTATTCCATTATGAAAAAAAAAACAAAAAAAACAAACAGACAAAATTAATGTCTATGTTTATGGATTTAGTTTTATGAAAAATTATTAAAATTTTCATCTTAATTTATTTTAAATCTCTCAAGATACTAACACATTCGAATTTTCTTTCAACAAATTAAATTACATTCTAATATCTCTATATTTATATTCAATTTTAAATTTAAACAAACCTAATCGGTGTCGATAAATTCACTGTATTATTTGTAGTTAAATCTATAACATCATTTGTCGTATCTGAAGGTATAAAATTTTGTTGTGAAGAATCAAAATTAATAAAAGGAAGTGTTGAACTTGTTGAATATGTTGTTATTGGCCATGATTGATTATTAGTTGAATTTGTCCATGGATATGTTGTAGATGTTGTTTGTTGATTATAAGGAGAAGGATAAATTGGTGTATTAGGTGTTGCCCAAGAATTCATTGTTGTTGGCATCCATATTCGATCAAATAATGTTGGTGGTGTACCCAATTGAATATTTCTCCAATCAGATAAATCTTTAGTTTGTTGATTAACAACTTTTGTTGTTGTTGTTGTTTGTGTATTTGTTAATGAATGATCTATTTCATCTGACCCATCGTTAAAATCCAAAAAATTCATTTTGAATAACGATGATCTAAAAATACAAAAAAAAGAAAAAAGAAAAGGCAACCAATATTATCTTGTTCTTTATACAATCAGAAAAAAAAAACAAACGCCCCAGTAGGAGGAGTTGACCGAAGACACACATATATATGATTTGATTGAATGAACGTAACA